AGCTTCCCCAGAAAGTCACTGGGGAAGCTGGCAGGGAAGGTTTCAAATGGTGTTCATGTGATTGCAGGGTGCTTGGCAACCAGTCATAAATGTGAACAGAGTGCCAAGCACCCAGATCACGATCACGTAACTTGAACTATCACAACGAATGGTTGTAGATTGAGGACTACCTATAGTAACATTTTGTGAATGATCTCCAGGAAAATTTATACATTGCCAATAAATTGGCTTATTAACATTATGCAACATAGCTTTGGAATGTACATTGGCAACTATTATACACATGCTACAAGCATTCCAAACTTGAAGCTGTATTGTTATGTTATTGTTACTGAAATAGTTACTGAAGTTAATAACAGTTAATAAAATGAATTGTAGTTGAAATATATGTGCAAGAATATAGTAATGTCCACCATCTTCTAGGTTGATGTCAGTTCTATAAATATCTACTGTATCTAATAATCAATTGCTATTTTTTACTTGCAGCATCATGGAAAAATTAGGAAGGTAAACTTTCAGAAGAAACACGAAAAGGTATTTAACTTTCTGTTTCTGATCCATATAAAAATTCTCTGCGGTGGACTGTATACAACATGTACAGGTAGTCCTTGACTTACAACCACAATTGGGACCAGAACGTCTGTTGCTAAGTGATGTAATCATTAAGTGAACCAAATCAGATTTTACTACCTTTTTGCCATGGTTGTTATGTGAATCACATGGTCATTAAGTGAATCTGGCTTGGAAGCCTCCTGGGAAGGTCGCAAATGGTGATCACATCACCTGGGACACTGCAACTGTTGTAAATACATGCTACTTGCCAAGCACCCGAATTTTGATCACATGACACAGGGACACTATGATGGTTATAAGTGTGAGGAATGGTCGTAAGTCACTTCAGCGCCATCATAACTTCAAGTGGTCGCTAAATGAATGCTCATAAGTCAAGGACTTGTATTTGGTAGAGGTCTCTCTTGCTAGAGCAGTTCCAGTTGCTCAAGAATCAGCCTCTGTTTAGTCCCAGCAGTGGTTAGTCTTTTCAAAATTGGAACTACTCTCGCCAAAGACTCACCCAGAAATATCTGGCTATGCCCAGTTCTGTGCCTTAACTAAAGAAGCAAAATAAGAAAACATATACACATTTACTTAATTGTATAAGCTACAGAATGTAGATATGAAAGGGGTAAATTCAGAAGAATTTCAGCAACTGAACAATGTCCCAGTTAGAAATGATGTATCTCTTAAAAGTACAGTAGAGCCAAAGAGTGGAACTTTTTGTAATTCTTTTCTAATAGTTTATGAACTGATGAGGAGAGAGGTTTTTTCATGAATAATGGATGAGTATGCAGGTGTGGGTCTATAGAACTGTCTTCTGAATCCTCATCAAACCCTTTCACATGGGTACAGAGAACACTCAGACCATTCTTTTGAAATGTAACAAGTGGGGCTATTTCATTCTGAGCTCAAAACATTTTTTTCATGACATGGGTGTCCCAGATTCTGTTCTCCAGTACAGGTAGTTCTTACTTAACCCTAATTGGAATCAGCAACCATCGCTAAGTGAAGCGGTTGTGAACAGGAACATCATGTGACCACTCCACCCAGCAGTCCCTGTAGCTGTCATTAAACAAATCCCACCTCAATTCAAGCCATTCCCAGCTTGGTCCCTCCTAGCCTCGAGCCTCAGTTCTTCCAAGGCAAGGGACTGCTTCCCCTTCAACTCCCTCTACCTGCCTGTTTCCCCTGATCTCTGCCCTTTTGGCTGTCCTGACAGCATGAAGAGGTTGTATTCCCCCCACCTCACCCCCAGTGGACATTCCTCCCTGTCCTCAGAGCGATTGTCATGTTCTTCCTTCCTTCCACTGGGCTCACAATAACCACCAAGGACTGCCACCTCAAGCCCCGTGGCACAGCAAGCAGTCCCATTGCTGTAGCACGCCAAGAAGCCCCCAAGCATCAAGAAGCCCCACAGAGCGGCTCTGGGGTTTCTTGCCACCTCGCAGCTCTGGCGATTCTTGGTGTGCCACGGCTCTGGAGCTGCAAGAAGCCCCTGAGCCATGGTGTAAAGCCCCAGTCCCCGCAGCGCAAAGCCGCAGCTGTCCCAGCTCAGCAGGACAGGGTGATACCCCAGGTGCCCCAGCCCAACAGCACGACATGAATCTGCAGCCATCCCAGCATAGCAGCATGGCACAAAGCCCCAGCCACAGCTGTCCTACACTCCAAGGCCCCTGCTCCCCTGTCCTCTGCCACCCCAGCTGACCTTCACCATCTTCTTCCTCCTGCTGCTGAGGAGGTGCGCCCTGCCTAGCCCTTTGTGAGGCAGCTGCTGACTGCATGCGACATGGGGAAGAAGGCCTGACCTGGCCAGCAGCTGCCTCACAAAGGGCCAGGCTGGGCACGTCTTGTCATCAGCAGGAGCAAGAAAATGGTGGTCAGTTGGGGATGGTGGAGGGCAGGGCAGCAGGATCCATGGAGTGTAGCGGGCCAAAAGGGGAGGAATGGGGGGAGATAGTCAGGTGGGGGTTGTTAAAGCGGTTGTAAATGTGGATTCAAAATTACAGTGGCGCTGAAAAAATGGACTTACAATCTGTGCCCAAAGGTATGGCCATTACAGCACCTCCGCAATCACGTGATCAAAATTTGGGCACTTGGCAGCCTGCCCTCACTTACAACTGCAGGGGTACTGCAACTCTCCCATCTGCCTATCTCCCCCCATCTGCCTATCTCCCCACATCTATGCCCTTTTGGCTGCCCTGCACCACGGCACTTATCGGCGGGAGCTCTGGGGCTGGGGCTGAAGTAGAGGTCCAAGGCCTTCAGCAGTCTCAGCCAGCTGCCACCACCCCCAGGCCCTGAGTTCAGCCCCAGCACTGCCACTGCCACTGAGAAATGCTATCTCAGGCGCCACACCACTGGCCTTTGCCGCTTTGCACCGTTCTCCAGGCGGGACCTCTCGTTCCTTCCGCAAGCCGGTGTCCCACTCCTTCCCCAAGCTGGTGTCTCTTGTTCCTTCTGCAAGCCAGCATCCCTTTCCTTCCCCAAGCTGGGTCTTCTCATTCCTTCCCCAAGGTGTTGTCTTGTTCCTTCCCCAAGCCAGGGCCCCTCGTTCCTTCGCAAGCCGGTGTCCCATTCTTGTGATCCTTCAGAAACCTTCTGGTCTTCCCCAGGTCTTCTAGGGTGGCTGTGGCTTTGTGCCACACTGCAGCACACCCCAACTTGTGCATGGCCTGCATTGGGCCTCCCAGGGTCTCCTGCGCTCCCCTGAGGCACCCACCCCCACGCTCCTTACCTCCTACCCCGCTTAACAACCCACGATTCTTGTGTAACAACAGGTGCTGGGACTGCGGTCACTAAGTGAAACAGTCACGTGATGTCTCACTTAACTACCACATCATTTAGTGACCTAAATTCCAGTGCAAATTGTGGTCATTAAGCAAGGACTATCTGTATTCTATATGCAGGGATATGCATTCTCTTTTATCAAATATTTACTTTTGAGGATGTAAACTTTTCCTTAGCATCTCTGTCCCTGCAACAGCAAACTTTATTGTAAGTGGCTGTATTGCAGTTGAACCAAATCATGTATGTGTAATGATTAAGATGTTATAATTATTTAAATAGTAAAGTTATACTCTAAAAACTTCCTTAACAGCCTAAAGTTCTTATACACTTTTACACGCTAAGAGTAGTGTATGAACTTATCTAAATTTTAGAAAAAGCATATTTGTTCTAATTACTATACAGCTGCTGCTATTTTTCTTGATTTGTTCTCACTAATATAAGAATATAAATTACCTCTTCAGGGTCATTTTAAGTGGTGGTGGGGAAAATAATGGTTAATGTCTATTTAATTTCCAATTTCTACTTGACATTTACCAATCTTGTGATTTTATCTATTAAGTATACACAATGAAGGTAATGTTCCAAGGAAAATATGGGGATTAAAAAAAGAAAAGAAATTGAATCGAGGCCCTAGTCCTATATATAGCCTGGGGTTAGGATGGCTGTGGAGCCCCTGCTGAATTTCTGTGAAGTTTTTGCATGTGGGGAGAGTTGCTATGGTCCAGGCAATTATGTGGTTTTTAATGTGTTTTTAAGGTGCTTTTAATATATGTATTGGACCTGTGGTATGCTGCCCAGAATCTTCTTTGAGTTGGGCAGCCTTAAGAAATCCAAGTAATAATAATAATCGCCACCACCATTTACCTGAGACTTAGGACATTTAATTCAATAAAGCTTTTTTCCAAGTAGATGTTGCAATGTAGTTTTGGCAGCTGGAATAGTAAAATTAACAAGATTAATTCTGCAACATTCCAAGAAAGTGCAGTTAACAATTCTTTTTTAAAAAACAGACCAGTAATCATCTTCTTGGTCCGAAGCCATTCCCATTGGACAGATTGTTAGCAATATTATACAGCATTGTTGACAGCAGAATTCCTCCAACTGCAAATATATTTTCCCAGGTGAGTGAAATTCTTATATGTTTAGAGTGTTGACACAAATTTCAGACCTCTTTTTCTTCAGTTTTATTTACAAAATAATCATAAGCTTGTTACTGCTAGTGTTACAATTACAAAGTTGTTTTATATAGAATGAGAAATTGAATGTCAGCAATGTCTAAATGTTCAAACTTAGCAATTACTAATATAATTCAAACTTTCTGTTATCATTTAAGTACAAATTTCAATCAAATGTTTGCATTCCTACTGATACTTAAAATCTGTATTTTTACTGCATGTAATAGCTGCTATTGGTTACGTAGGTACCAAAGTATTCTTTGAGTTGAACTCAGCTCCTGGTGATATTTAGCAAAAGTTTGAGTAGGTGCCTTCAAATCAGCGTCAGAGTTGACCACAAAGACTTTCTCCATGACAGTCTTTCTCTTACTTCACTTCAGGGTTTCTAACAGTTTGACAAATGTATGTCATATCATTTTCTTGGCACAAAAAAAAGGGTTTGTCATTGCTTTTTTGACACCCTAGTCTAGCTTGTAGCCTACAGGTAGTCCTTGCTTAACGACTGCCCTGCTTAGCGACTGTTCAAAGTTATGACGGCGCTGAAAAACTAACTTTATGACCAACTGATGCAGTGTCCCACAGTCACCATTTGCATGCTTCATAGCTGGCTTCTGACAAGCAGAGTCAGTGGAGAAGCCATCAGTACAATAGCAAGTCACAGTCATGTGATGTCTCGCTTAACGACCATGGGTGATTCACTTAATGACCACAGTGGAAGTGACATAAGTCTGACGGAGTCATGTGATGTTTTGCTTAATGGCCGTGTCACTTAGCGATGGAGTTGCCATCCCAATTGTGGTTGTTAAGCAAGAACTACCTGTATTGAATTGGATTTCCTCCCACCCATCAATCTGACCCTGTTTAGCTTTTGAAATTAGTTAAGTGCTGCCACCTATCTGAGGAACTCAGAATGAAAATCCATTTTAATCGGAATCTGCAAAAATTGGGAAAATGTTTTGATTTGAATCTGGAACAAGACCATCAACATCCTGGAGATTCTCTAGACCTCTTTCTTAGACCATTCAATAGACCAGTCTGGACTACTCTAGTGATTCTGTGTTTCACACAAAACAAAATGAATAGGACAATGCTGGTGCACATCACCAATACCCCCTTGCACCTCCCAGGGTGCATATCCCTCCGGGTGGTGATTATTTTGTTTTGAGTTCAAAATATTTTTTCTGTTCCATGCATATGTTCATGTTATAAGGTGCCCTATCAAAATGCTCATGACTGACTAAGGAACATTGTGAGTAGCAGGTTGAAAAAGCAAAGGTTCACATTTTTAAAAACCTGAGAAAGCTTTTCCTGACAAAGCATGAGCACGATTGAAGTTGGTGGAAGAGAAGATCGAAGAATCACCAACTAAGTAAGTGCCAGCTGCCAGTTTGTCTGAACTGAACCAGAGACAGAAGAAATCTTGCCACCAATACTCATACGCTCTTCCTTAACTCTAGAAGCAGGAAGAGTAGGTTGGCATACAATTAGAATAGAGCACATATGTTAAGCTTGTATTGCAGTATCCATGTATATGGACTTATTAGAGCTGACATTGGAGTTCAGGGAAAAAAATATTCGTACTTTTGAAAAACGGTCTTATCAGAAAGGGAGGGGGGAGCTGCACATTGGAACACAGAGCAGTTGGGTAGCTGTAAATCATATTTGGAAAACTTCTTTATTGATTTTTTAATTTTAAAATAACAAACAAGGAAAATAAAAAAACACAAAAATAATCAACGCATACATACATTCTCAAAAAAGAAACAACACATAAAAAGTGCTTAAAAAGGGCAAGAAAAGAAAAAAACAGTATAGTATATCATTACAACTGTTACAATTCTATATATGCTTATCTAGTGTAAATATAATTCAAGTGCATATATATTTATTTCTAATACAAGTATATAACTATCATTTGTCTTTAACCTACTGTATTTTGTATCAGTGAGTTCCATATTTCCTTGTACTTGCCCATACAAAGTCTGTGCCTATAGGCAGTCTGCTCATAGATAGCAAGTGCGATCAGGTCTTCAGTCCATTGTGTGAAGTGGGCCATACGTATATCTTTCCAATGATGCAATATCAGCCTTTTGGCCGTAATAAGGACATGGAGAATCCATTTATGTTGTCCAGTTGTCAATTTCCATGTAATAGGTATGTAATTCAAAAGAATATTACCTTTTGAAAATTTTAATTTTTGCCGCACAGTCATATATATGTAATCCAGTACTTTCTCCCAGAATTTAGTAAGTATAGGACATTATAAAAACATGTGTTTTAAAGAAGCATTATCATTATTACATCTCCAACAAAATGCTGTCTTAGACCTTCTCTATTCAAACATAATGGTGCCCGATAAATCCTAAATATTATTTTTTGTTGTAATAAGTCTTAGTTTAAGGTCCATTGATACTCTTGGTATAGAAGTTAAAACACTTTCCCATTATCTAGGCAATATAGGAACCTCTAATTCTTTATTCTACTCATTTCTTAGCATCTACATATCAAATTGATTTATTGATAACAAATACCTATAAAAATTAATAGTAGGTTAATCATATTTGCAAAGCTTGAGGATGAAGAAATAAAGCTACTTTTACTGTTTTTTACCAGCAGTTTGAATAGCACGGGGAAATACTGTTTTGCCCTGTCTCTTTCAGTCAGATCCTTCAGATCCTTAGATGTACCCCATGATACACAACTCTTGGAGTGGTCTATTCCCAAAATGTTGTATGAGCTATTCATTTTGTTTTATTCTGTTCTGTGAGGTTTATTCACTAGACTTTCCAGAGCCATTGGAACTATAACTTTGCTAATTTCCAGACAGCTTATCCAATGATCATCCTGTGAGTTGTAAGCTTAACACATCCAGAGAACATAGAGTTTTGGAGTACACAAAATTATCTTTATCAGACACATTTTGAGTCAGTGCACCTAGTATTTCCCTTAAGCTCATCCCCTGTAACTGATTGCAAATTATCTGACTGCTAGATAATTTCTTTTGCCTCTCTCTTCCTAGGGTGCTGTTGAATAGAATTCTAACCTTTTGTCTATGTGAGAACTTACAAAAGTGACCAGCTACATTACCCCTCATCTTGTAATAGAGATCCTAAAAAAAAGTTTTTAAAATAAAAATCCTAAAGTTTCTAATGTGTGCCATCTACTCTTTCAGTATGATACCGTTAATCACAGGCAAGAGAGAGCCAGTTTGGTGTAGTGGTTAAGGCACCAGGCTAGAAACCAGGGGACTGTGAGTTCTAGTCTTGCCTTAGGCACGAAGGCAGCTGGTAACTTTGGCCTAGTCACGTTCTCTCAGCCCTAGGAAGGAGGCAATGGAAAACTGCTTCCAAAATCTTGCCAAGA